TTCATCCAGTATATGATGCAGCACCGTTTTCTTATGGAAATGTATCTTCACCAGTTACAGAAACTATCTCAGCTCGTATTCATCTTGTTAGCGACATAGCAGGTGAATCCAGCCTCTCGAATATGGAATTCTCCAGAAACATAGAAGAATCTTTGGTAGCACTACTTCCTGTTGACAATTATTCTACGTAAGGCGGTCTTTTCCGTTCTCTTTTCACTGTGGTTTTTATTGCATACATGCTATTGCTTATCTTCGCCAGACACGTGTAAATATGTGCATATAATTTCGTCTATCACTTATCGGCATAAAACTCTGTCTGAAAGCCAAACATGTTCTTCATTACTTTTCCTTTCAGCTAGGCGTATGGACATACCATATTGAAAATCACTTCCCGTACGATCACGAAAGTTAAGCAACGTCTAGTCTGCTCAGTACCTAGATGGGTGACTGTTTGAGAATGTCAGGTGCTGTAAGCTTGGATGTGTGGGTGGTGTAATGTAGAACGGTTCGGAATTGGAAATCGGTGAGCCAAGTTCCAATTCCAGCTGGGTTCATTAAAATCCCTCACTCGCAAATATCTTTCGGAAAAGCATGAATCCAACTCCTCTCCTCCCACCTATGGGTTAATTAGTATGAGTTGCATCATTAAATCATTATTATCTCGAAACATTCTGACAATCTGAAAATATTATATGGCTTTAAATAAATTGTAAAAGGTTGATAATCCATAAAAAACAAATCACTTGAACCTTCTGGATCTGAAATAGGAAGTATATATCACTATAAAGCTTTATATATTATTATTATTATTATATTATTTGTGAAGTCTCTGAAAACTGTATCATTTCAAAACCCTTCAAGAGTACATCACGGAGAAAATGAGTGCCTCAAACAGTTTAATCTCTTCCCAATGACTTACTTTTGCACTTGTATAGATAATAATAATAATAATAATAATAATAATAATGAAGAAGTCAAGTATGCTATACTGATGGCATAGGTGTTCATTGCTGCTATAAGAATGACCTGGAACAAAAAGCCACCATACTTTAGCATGTCTTCGAGGTTGCTGGACTTAAACCTTTCCAAAAGAGAAACTATGAATTGTAATGAGAGTAGTGATGGTAGCTACCATGAATCAAACATCAAATTTCAAAATGTAGAATTAAATTGTAAACCCTGCAAATGCATCTGTGTATGGATGTTATAAAAAAAATAAAAAAATAATAGGAGATAAAGAAACAGAACATAGAATTATCTACCTGGTTACTCCGACGTGATGTAATAGTTAGCAAGCTTGTCTCGCTAGAACAATTACGACTGAATAGTGAGTTCGATCTTCACTGGATGCCCCATACTTTCGTCCTTGTGTCACATCTACGCTAAGCATAGAAAATCACCAATGGTGTAATGATTAGCAAGATTATCTCGCTAGAACAATTATGACTGAATAGTGAGTTCGATCCTCACTGGATGCCCCTTAGTTTCGGCCTTGTGCCACATATAAGCTAACGCTTAGAAAATCACCAATGGTGTAATGATTAGCAAGCTTGTCTCACAAGATCAATTACGATGGAATAGTGAGTTCGATCCTCACTGAATGCCTCACACATTGGGCCTTGTGCCACATCTCGTCTACGTTTGGAAAATCACCAGTGGTGGAATGGTTAGCAAGCTTGTCTCGCTACATCAATTACGACTGAATAGTGAGTGCGATCCTCACCAGGTGTCTCATACTTTCGGCCATGTGCCACATCTAATTTAGAAAATCACTAGTAGTGTAATGGTTAGCAAGCTTGTTTCGCTAAATCAGTTACGACAATAGTGAGTTCGATCCTCACTGGGTGCCCCACACATTCGGCCTTGTGTCACATCTAAGCTAACGCTTAGAAAATCACCAGTGGTGTAATTGTTAACAAGCTTTTGTCGCTAGATCAATTACGGCAGAATAGTGAGTTCAATTCTCATTGGGTGCTCCACACTTTCGGCCTTCTAGGCTTAGAAAATCATGAGCACTTCAAATTGGTGTAATAATAATTTTGTCTCGCTAGATAAATTACGACTGAAAAGTGAGTTCGGCCTCACTAGGTGCCCTGAATTTTCGCCCTTCTGTACATCTAAGCAACGCTTAGTAAATCACCATAGAATAGGCTGCTGTAGAGGTAATTTTGTCCAACACCGCAATTAGTTATAAAACTGAAACACGAAACTAAGAATTCAAGTCATGTTCTTAAGCCGCATCGTCAGGTGAAGACTCTCATACTAATATCATGAAGGGAATCCAACAGGTAGCGAAATGTCTAATCCCTCAGCTATATACACTCAATGATTAAAAATGACTTCAAGCGAATGAACCATTTAGGCCATCAGAAATGACAATACTTCATAAGGCCCAATGGACCGGCGCTACGGAATCACAAAGAGCGACTTTTCCCAAATAAGAAAAAATCACTTGAAGATTTGAACAGGAACGACAACTACAACAGAGTTCACAAGTAACAAGATACAGATGAACAAACAAAGAGGTGTCTCAGATAATGGAAAGCATATCACTTGAAGACTAATAACAGCAGCAAAAAACTAGATTGGATGGCACACGTAACTCCAAGGTTAAATAATAACATAATCAAGACGTTAAAATTCTACACAACTCCAACTCAAAAGTTAGGAAGTAAACTTCCGTCAGTAGTAGAAAGCTCGATAACAACTACTGGAGAAATTTTTTTCTGAAAGATTTTATAAATTTCAACCGAAAACAATACTGTCTGCTCTGTCATCGAAGACCTAATGTTTCCTTGTAGGGAAAGGGCTAATATTACCGCTAACCTTCCCATTATTCAGATGATACAAAATATATTTACCTATCTAATTTGTAGTAAAATAATATCATTACACTAAATTCATTAATGCATGTAAAAGTATCATAAGAATTGACAATGCAAAAATTGTAATCGGCGGCCCGAGTTCGAATCCAGGTCCAGTCTGCTACATTTTCTTTTATTCAAAATCTCTTCTAAAAGTCACTTCCACTTCTTCCTGCTTATAGACTGAATGGCAGGTTAGACTCTTGTTTTGGATTGATCTTTTCTAGATTGGAGAGATTTATACCCCCCAAAAAAATATAAAAATAACGAAAATCCAGTTCTGGTGCACCTCTGAATACGCTGGAACCATAGTTCGACGTAAACACTTCACTATCTATTTCAAGAAGTTGCATAGTTTGACTCTTACTGCATTTGGAACCGTTTGTATTCGATGCAAGTTCTAGAAAAAGCAAAGTGTAGCTATGCACAAACAATCCAGGTCAAGGTCGAAAACAAACGTAGGATGCACCGACCAAATTATGAATAGAGGCTAAACGACTATGCTCAATATTATAAATGGGCCCGAGGTCAGATCTTCGTCCTCAAATAAGGCGAAACTTTTCGCCTCGACCTTTGCATCTAACTCAATATTAGAAGACATATTGACATCCCCTTACCGACTCTCCCCGTCTCAATGAGCACGATCTCATTTGTATTTTTATCATAGCCCGGGAATTCTGAAAACTTACCAAAAGTCTTGGCCCTAAGAAAGTCACTGGACCAGATAAAATCCCTGTTGTTTCCCTTGAGAATATCAACCCGTAACTATCCCCGATCTTAACAAAATTATTTAATCGCTGCTTAAAAATAATTTTTTCCCAAGTCTGTGGAAGGGGTCACGCGTATACCTGATTTTGAAGAACACGGGCAAGCGCTCAATAAACCCATCAGTGTCATCACTATCATTAGCGAGGAGGTTGTTGATCCACTAAATAAGTACAACCTTTTCAGGGACAAGCAATACTAGTTTCGATTGGACCGATCCACTGCTGATGTTCTCTCATCATGCACAGAATCATTTAATTACTAGGCAACAAATACATCTCCAGCTTCAGATATTTCAAAGCCTTTGACAAGGTGTGGTACAATAGATTTCTGCTCATGTTCTCTAGCTATGGAATTATTGGAAGAGTCGTGTCAATAATGAAGTCCTTTTTAACTGTCTTTGGAGGTAGTTGTTAACGCCTAGTCCGCCAAGGCCCTAGCAGTCAACACATGCGCCCCAAACCAGGTGTCGCTTCTTAGACCAACCCGATTTTTATTTTACAAAAATGTTCTTCCTGAGAGTATACTCCGATCACTTTTTAAATATCTATGCTGCTGATAGCAATGTATATGGTTGCACCTTCAAAACTCCTGACGACCAAATATTGACAGCTGACATCTACTATGCGGGTTACATTCAATGCCTCGAACACCAAACTGCTTAGATTCCGTCATCGGCGATCGGATCCCGAACTACTGCCAGTCATGATGAATGGATATCCTCTCGAGGAAGCCCCGTTCATTGAACGACTGTTTGACCTCAAATTCAACCCAGACCTCAAATGGGACTCGTTCTTACAATCTATCGATAAAGACGCAAGAAAAATGGTCGATTCCCTGTACCACTCCTCGTGCGATCCTCTACCTTTGCAAGTGCCAGATCAGGCCTAAAATGGAGAACTTCTGTTTTATTTGGGCAGGAGTTGTCCAGTCTTCACATTCCAGTCTTGATAGAATCCAAAAGCATCAATCTTAAAAGTGACAAATTATTTTCCACCATGCAACACATCTTTCACAGACGAGATGTCTTTCACTGTTTTGTAGCTACTTTAATGGAAAGTGCTTAGACGAACTGGACACCTTAGTTTCACCAATTCTAACCCTCACAACCAGAACCCTACATCCTATTTACATTGTGGCTAACCAAACTCATTCGCTCTTTATTCAATTTGAGGAGAAATAAGTTCCATTCGAGCAGCAGCTTCTTGCGAACCACTGGTCTATGGACCCAAAACCCAAGATGCTTTTTTTTTTCCGATCAATATAATCTTAACTTTGTAACCCTTCATCTCGATGGGCCCACGGGCTTTGTACAAGGTGAACCTCACTTAAAAAAAAAGAAAGCACTATTTGTATTTCCGTATCGTGTAGAAGATAATAAGAAATACTCTTCTATCTTACCAAGGAAATCATTTTTTCTAATTTTCTTTCTCTCATCTTTTCTCCCCACTGTTATACTTTCTTTCTTTCCTTCTTTTTTCTTTCTTTCTTTCTTTCTTTCTTTCTTTTTCCTAAAATGTCTTTACTGTGTCGTTCTGTTTCGTTTGTCCTTCCATACTTTTTTTACTCTCCTCTTTTCTTCTTTCTTTTCTCTCGTTATTCATTTTCCTTTTATTTCTTTTCTTACTGGGTCGTTCTATTTCTCGTTTTCTTCCTTCCTCTCTCCGTCCCTACTTTCCTTCCTTCTTTTACCCCCTTCCTTTATATCTCTCATTGTACATTCCTCCGTTTCCCTTTTCAACATCCTTGTTTTAAAATTTCTTTCTTTCTTTGTTACGTTCGTTCGTTCTTTTTTGCTTTCATTCTTGTTTTTTTTTTTCTTGCTTTCTTTCTTGCAACCTTCTATGAAAATCCATAGCTAATGGTGCTTACCATGGAGAAATATAGTCTTCAGTAGATATCATATTATTCTATTCAACCGTAATATTGTTCTCGCTGTATATTGTACTTAGGGAGTTAAAATGCCTAACCAAAGTTGTTAACCCTATTGTTCGAAGCTGAAAAGTTGCTTCAGCCAAAGATATTTTTATGTTTCTTCTGTCTGTTGTACTTTCAATGGAAATAAAAGGGAAAGACTAAATCAAAAAGGAAAAGGCATTACCAATAATGGTGATTATATGCAAATAATGGTGTTGGAATATTAACTAAAGATGAGTGAGCAATAAAGCTTAAAATGGAGGATATGTTTTATGGCAATTAAATTCTCAATGCGTGGATTTGTTTTTGAAAGCGCAAATGGAAGGTTAGGAACGACAAGAAGATGAACTCGGTATTAGTTTTTTCAGGTTGCCTAATGTTGAAGATCGTACTTCACATGAATATGCGGTCGGAAATCGATCCAAACGTTCAAGGCTCGTTGTACTAGATTTAGGTGCATATCACCTTTTGTATTGAATGCGCACAAATAATTTTTATAGAATCATTTACTCAATTCTTTCTTGTTGTAAACTGTACCAATTTTTTTTTCAAAATAAAATTCGCTTTTATACAAGTTCAGTCTTTTTTTTTTCCGTCAGGTGTTGAGTTCGTGCAGAAAATTTCGGGCTATGCATAAAATGCCTTCATTATTCAATCTGAAAACGCCGTTTTTAGCCATGCCTAGGTAATTACTCAGCGTTAGGACACCGCTGTTCTAACGATAGAAAAACTAATGAGATTGTAAAGCTATTTGGTTTGTTTTAAATTTTATCTTTGGATTTGTTTCTCTTCTTTTTATTTGTTTATTTTATTTATTTATTTATTCATTTATTTATTTGATTCTATTTCGTACGCGTTCGCCCGTGTTTCTCTGTCAGAATCTCTGGGGTGAGAATTTATCAATATTTACAATCGGATTTTTTGTCCTCAGCTTTGTTGGAATTATCACAATGCTTCGACTGTTTTTCTCTCCGGCCTTCATCAAGTGTCCTTGATTTTCTCGGGTTAGGAGTTATCGTTATTTATATTATTTGCAATCGGACTTTTCGTCCTCATCTTTGTTATTATCATCATAATGTTTCGGCTGTTCTGCTCTGCGGCCTTCACCTGGTCTCTTTGATTTTCTGGGACTAGGAGTTATCGTTATTTATATTATTTACAATCGGACATTTGACCGCATTTTTGTTATTACTATCACAATGTTTCGGTTGATTGGCTCTGCGGGCTTCATCTGGTGTCCATGATCTTCTGGAGTTAGGAGTTATCGTTATTTATATTATTTACACTTAGACTGTTGTCGTTATCATTGTTGTTTTTATCACAACGTTTTATCCATTATGGCTTCAACTCTTTTTAAGAACTTGTTGACTCGGCTAAACTTCTGAAATTTCTAACTAGGCCCTTCATTTAATCTACGGGTGTAGATTGTTCACATTCAGTTGTCCCTACTTAGAGATATCTTATTTACTTCTTATCTACTTATACTATCTATTTCTTTACACTATTTACTTTATTCGGACGATTGTCTTCATCTTTATCGCCATATTTATTACAACGTTTCGGCCGTTGTACGCTCCGGCCTTCTTCAGGTGGTTGGAATGTCGAACTTAAACCTTTATTTCGCTCACTGTTTCGTAGACTGTTCTAGTTCCACGTGCCATGTTTAATGGATGTCAGTTATCAGTTATCTACTGTTAATCCCCCTCTCCAAGTTCTAACTGCCTTATTGAACTCACACTCTTTGGATCCCGTCACTGGATCTAACCAACGCCTTTATCCACTGTGCCATGTCTCCTTGAGGGCAATTTCTGAGTATTATAAAACTAATGTCTTCATCAAACATTTTTACCAGTGCTCATATTGCAATTTTTGCTGTTACCATTTCATGTTTTTACCAGAGCTCATATTGCAACTTTTGTTGTTATTATCGCTTTTCTCTGGCACTCCTTATTACTGGTTCCCATATTATATTCATTTCTATGCTTGATCGGCTCAGGAGATTTTTGTGACCTAGCATATGTGCTGAGTCCTTAAGTTTACGAATTTTCCAATGTTGTTCTTTGTCTATGATCTCAACCTGATCCCACAGAGGGCGGTGTTCTCCCTTCTCTCTCCATATGTGGTCAGCCACGCCTGATTTTTTCACTTCCCCTCATGTTACAGCTTTCTGGTGTTCTTGAAGCCTTACCTTGAGGGGGCGGCCTGTCTCCCTTTTATATTTTTTCCGCAGCTGCACGGGATAACTTACACACAAATTTTAGTCATGTTCTCCTCTATGGGGGGGGGAATCTTGCTCGGGAGAGATATCTGCCAAGTGTCATCCAGCTTTTGAAGGTTGTCCTGATGTTATATCGACCGCAGAACTTTTGTATTTTCGCTGATAACCCCTTCACATAAGGCAGACAGGCTGTTTTCTGAGTGTTGTTGTCCTACTCTTGTACCCGCCTATCCGAGTTTTTTGGGAGGGGGGGGGCTAGGGTAGTTGTTGCGTTGTAGGGTACGGTTTTGAATTTGTCTGTATGTGCTGTGAACATTGTGATTGTAATTAGTCTAACTAACTGAGAATCAAATAAAAATATTATATTACACAATGAATATTCAAACTCAAATTAACCCTTTGTCCACTAGATCGTAGGGAAATATGCCGGATCTTTTCTTTTATTTGTTAAGATAATGGACCTGTCTTTTAGGTGACAATCTCCATTTCAAATATCATCCTAACGAGTTCATTGAGTAACATGTAGCGTCGCCAGGTTATGCGTCTCGAAGCCGATTAGAATCGTAAAGGCATCACATGTAAAGCATTCATAAGAGCAATGGGGTATCTTGTACATGATAAACTGTCGGAGCGTATCCGTTTTCGGAGTAAATCTTCTAATTCTGTCAAGTCAAGGAAAGTTCCTAGTCTACCTTATTATTTCGCCCTGAGATGAAGGCAGATTCATGCCTTTTAGCAAGAACATTAACATGAATTAGCCGAAACAGAATCTTACATTATTTACATTATTCAAACTGTTATCCTCATCTTCATTGCCATATTCACAACCTTTTCGGCCGTTGTACGACTAGGCCTTCGTCAGGTGATTTGGATTTCAAGACCGACCCTTTATTTCGTCCACTGGGGTAGAATATTCTAGTTCCACGCGCCATGCCTCTTTCGGGTGTCTTAGTTATTTCCTTTTAATTCAACTCTCCAAGTTTATTTTTGGTTCATCACTGCTGTGGCCATTGTGCCTTGTCACTAGATTTATCCAACGCCTTTATCCACTGGGCCATGTTGTCTCCTTGAGAAGGCCGGAGCGTACAACGGCCGAAACGTTATGACTGTGGCAATGAAGACGAGGATAACAGTCTGAAAAATGTAAGTAATCATAATACCTCATGTCAGAGATATAGACAGATACTGAAATAGAATCTAGCGAGAATTGAACTCGACACGCTAAATTCACTTTCCGCGCCGATAACAGTGTAGATTATTCACAGATTCGCTAAAAAGAGTAACCCTTCACAAAGGAGGAAACAGGAGCAGATAGGTTCACCTATCGTCCGGTTCACACTCCTCCCTGATTTTTTCAACAAAGGTGAAAACGTTTTAGCAATGCTGCCTGTTTAGGCTTGGGTTTCCAATTTCATTCTAAAGTCTTTTTCAACTTATACTCCTAACGTCTCCGCCTGGACTCTGACATTTTATACTTAGTATTTCTTTCTTCTCTTCTAATAGGAGTGGATAGGTTCGCCTACTGCTCAGTTCACATTCCTCCTCGGTTTTTGTAACAGGAATAGTAGTTAATACCTTGTTTTCTGTTTAGAAATGGGTCTCCGGTTCCTTCTAAAATCTGTTCATTCACTGATTTTTTTTCCCACTCATATCACTGTCGACCTATTAAGGTTTTCACTTAGAAGTTATCTTTCCTGCGTAGCCCCAAGAACTGAACTTTTTGCTACACTCTTATAACACCACACAGTAACCCTCTACCTTGAAAGGCTCTTGGGCCTTCTATTGTCGAACATTAGTAAAAAAAAAAAATATTTTCTAGGCCGATAAGGAGTGGGATATTTATCTATCCCCAAACGTTATTGCTGTGAAATGAACTATTTCATTTTGGATTTGAAATTTGTCCAGCGTCTTCATTTTCAGCCTATAAAATTAGCTCTCTCATTTTAATAGTACAAGAAAGATTAATGTTGAAATTAGCCGTTTCTATAAAGGAAACATTAAGATTTACTGACGGTTGAATTTTATAAAATCTTTTTATCTTAAAACAATTTTTCAGGACATTAAACATCTCAGGGTCAGTAAGATTATTAGACATTTTAAGACATGGTATTGCTTAGAAAAAGACCGTCGAGTTTCCGTAATGGCGGTATTAATGTTCGGATAATCGTTTCCATAAGAGAAACATTCATCGATAGGTTGCTTTACTCTCGATTATCATTTATAGACTCTTTTTAAGGCTGTTCTTTTTTAGCGAATTAGACTTCTCGGTTCCATTAACTGTTATAGATCTTTCTAGTATCAATGGGTGTTTCGTTCATAACGTTTACCTTAATATAATGTGGATAGTCAAGTCTACAAGATCCTACGCGCGATTGTCTTCTCTAAGAACTAGAGTACTTCGGAAGCAAAAAATGTCTACTATATATTAATGTATGCATAGAAGGCATTACATCTTTAGAGATGTCACACAGCGGATATCTACGTATTTAAAATTAGTGCCGCCTTCATAAAGTGCTTTCTTAAGATGTCTCTCGAGTCTATTCACATTCAGGTACATATTAATTTCTGATTTAACATACGATTTCATTTGATTCTTTGACCATAACACAGAGTGAGGACATTAAAATAGGCGGTAGATATCGACTTTCGACGGACAAGGATATTATCTTACTTTTGCAAAAAATTTAGGTAATACTATCGTGTATAGTTTTGGAACATGAGTGTTGA